CCCATCCCCTCTCGGGACATTTGCGCTACTTGTGACCCTTAGAATTTCATGAACTTTACAATCAGCTGGTTCAGTTGGGGTTTTGTCTGAGACCGTGTTGGTCACTTGGAAAGAGTGGACACAGGTAAGAGTGGGCCTTAGAGGCCGTGACTCTAGGGTCTGTGTCCACTGACCAGATCTCCTCTGTTACACGTCTATACTTTTCTCCGTGGGGGTCTTATCTGCCTCTTGTTTATTCCTAGGTTTTTCTTATTTTGTGGTGCCATATCTAAAAGATACATTTTTAGAATGTGTTTCATTATATGGAAATATAATTGATTTTTGGTATATTAATTTTATACTCAGCAATCCTGTTAAACTCTTACCCGTTTTCCTGTAGGTGTCCTGACCTCCCTAGGACAGCTGTGGTTCCTATGAGAAGTGGCTCTTCTCTCTGCTCCATGCCGTCACTCAGTTTTACTGTACGCGCTCGCTTTGGTTTTGCTCCGAGTTTGGCTTCTCGGTGCCGGTGGGCTCATCTAGTGCAGTGTGGATTATACGGGGCCGTAGAGGGCGCCTGTCTTAATACAGAACCAAGGAGGCCTTTCACCATTTCTCTGATAAATTTGAAATAGGTTTTTTGACCTTGCTCCTTCTGTTATTGGTTTGCTAAGAATTTGTCATCACAAATGGGTGAGTTTTATTAATAAGACACTCTTCTGCCACGTTGGGATGACCATACGATTTTTCTCCCTTGTCCTAGAAACCTTTCCTTACACACGTGCTGTTGCCTGTGCCCCAGCCAGTGACCAAGTGACCCCAGCAGGGCCAGGGGCTCCTCCGGTCACTGCCCAAGACCCTGGCGAGCCTGGCCGTGGGCAGGGCCCCGCTCCTTCCTGTGTCCCCCCGAGCCGGGTGGTGCCACGGCCCACTCCGGTGTCTGTTGCTTTGTCAGCTAATGTCACCTACAGTTTTGAGTTTGCATCGGCCATCTCATTTCCTGCTGCTTGTTCTACTTGCGTGATATTTTTCCTTTCTGATTTTGCTGTTTTTGGATAGTTTTATATCATTCACATTGTCACCTTTTCAAGTGTGAACGCTGTGTGCCCTGTTCCCGGTGAGGGTGGCACCACAGCACGCTTGTGTATGTCTGATCGGCATAGCAAACACCACACACTGACTCCCCGTGCCCCCGTCCAGCTAACACAGCTCTCGGCCTCAGGTAGGTATTCTGTGTAACCGGACACAGTCACTGTTTGTGGTTATTTACTGTTCACTCTTTGTCCCACTTTTCCCTTTAGGGCTCAGACTTGCCTTTTGTCCTCGCCTTCTGCATTTGGAATCTCCTTTCTCACCTACTGACTGGCGTGCTCCCCATTATGGTCCAAAAACACCCTTATTTTTGTCATTCCTGAGGGCACCGTCAGTCCGCATCCGGGGCTGCTGCAGGCATTTGTGACGTGGTTTGTGTCCAGACCCCGCTCCCCGCCTCACACCTGGCCCGCAGGCTGCTGTGACCTGCGGGCCCTGTTGGGCATGTCCGTGCCCCTGTGGCATCACATGATGCCCGCACACACGGCGCAGCTGGAGGACCACAGGCCATGATTCAACACTTTTATTTGTCACCAACCAGACACAATGTTCACAACAGGGGGCACCCGAGGAGGTATGCAGACAGACACGAACTGTTTCACCACAGGTTTGCGAGCAGGCCTCGGACAGCGGCTTGGGTGGAGCACCGTGCCCACCCCCGGAGCTCCCAGAGAGCGACTCCGAGTCCCCCCGATGCCCCTGAAACTCCAGGAGAGCGGCTCCAAGCCACCCCCCGACGCCCCCGGAGCTCCTGGGGAGCAGCTCCGAGTCCTGGCACACTGACCAGGCGACGCTCTCCTCACTCCCTCACAGTGAGAAAACAGTGCAAAAATAGACCGCATCTCTATGTACATTTATTTCCCTTTCCTGAAAAGACTTAATACAAACTAGTAGCCTATGATCCCTTTCAAGTCTGAGTTATGTGCGTTTCCTTGTTGTTTGGCTTGGTCTGGGGAAGAGCGTTAGCCGAAGCACCCCCGAGTGCAGGGCAGCCGCCTCCCTCCCCGGGCGAGCCCCAGAGCATTCAGTAGTCGGTCTGTGGAGGGAGGCCAATCGGGGTCAGAGCTCTGAGGACGGTCTCGCCACTTCACAGTACGGCTGAGTCATCAGCCTGTGCTGTGGGAACAGGTGACAGCGCATCCCCACCTGTGTGTGCCACGGGATGGGGTGTGCCCGCCCGTGTGGGGACACTGCTCGCAGGGGGGCGCCTGCTGGGTCCTGGAGGATCGGCACCAGCGGCCTTCCCGGTGACCGCGGGCCTCATGGGCCTGCGCCTCACTCTGAGTCATCAGCCTGTGCTGTGGGAACAGGTGACAGCGCATCCCCACCTGTGTGTGCCACGGGATGGGGTGTGCCCGCCCGTGTGGGGACACTGTTCGCAGGGGGGCGCCTGCTGGGTCCTGGAGGATCGGCACCAGCGGCCTTCCCGGTGACCGCGGGCCTCATGGGCCTGCGCCTCACTGCCACCCTCCACCCACATGGCCGCAGAAGCCTCCTGACCTCAGGCCGTCAGGCTTCCCGTGGAGCCTCCGCCCCTGGGCCTCGAGGGGCCGCCTCGGCCTGCCCTGAGCTGGTGGCCCCTGGGGTGTGGACCGGCCCGAGCCCCCACCTGCCTCTTCCTAACTGGTTTCCACCTCCTCAAACCTTAAGACTGAGGACACTCAGGTGTAAAAATACTCCAGTACAAATATAGACCTCTTCCTGTAATATTTTAAACATACATGGTTTCAGTTTTGGCGACCTGACTGCTGCCCGCTTGCTTCTCCTACAGCGTTAAATAGAAATAAATACGGGGGCGGCAGTGCTCGCGTGCACGCTGCGGTCCTGGCTGGGCGCCATCCGCAAGGAGTGCCCCGACCACGTCCCCGCGTCCTGGCGGGCTTGTGCAGTTTCCTTGGCTCACAGACAGACACGTGATTTCTAGTTGACCGCGGTTAGTGGAAGCGAGCGGGTGATGCAGAGGACATGCAGCGAGACGCACACCTGCCTCTGTCCGTAGCGTCCGTGCCGAGCGTGGGAGCCGCATCCGTGCTGAGTCACGGGGTAGCAGGCCCGGGACCTCCGTTCGCCCTGCCCTGAGCTGAAGGTGCGTTTCCAGAGCTGCACTTTGGGAAGGGAACCTCAGCTGGGCCAGGGACACATGAGACCCACCCGGATGCCTCTGGACGCCTCAGGAGCCCAAGAGCATGGGGCTGGGCCAGGGTGGCCACCGTGCATCAACCTTCCCTGGCCTGGGGGCGGGGCCGCCATGGCTGTGGGGAGCCAGTCTCCTGCAGCGGGCGGTGCTGCCCTGCAGGCCAGCCCAGGGGGTTGTGGGACACGGGACTCTGCATGTTCTTGTCTGCACGTGTTTCCCCACCTGACAGCTCCTAGAGAAGAGCCCAGGGCGGGGGCCGGTGTCCTGCCCGCCTGCCATCCCAGCCTTCGGCTTCCCGGCAGTAGAGCGAGGGCCTGGCCGGGCAGCCTCATTTCCCCGAGTTGCAGACTTCCCAGATAGCAGTGACTGTGTCCTCCAAGTGCTTCCAGACACCTGTGTTCCATCCCTCACTTCCCAGGTGTTTCTGCAGTGAGGTCCCAGGGCCTTAGGACCAAGCTGCCCGCAGAAGCCACTGACATTCCAGGGAGCACAGTGCGGGGGCCATGTCCAGCGCTGGCCTGGGCCCCTCTGCGGGGGGCAGGCCTCCAGGCCCAGCAGGGACCGGCGTGCGTGGCAGTGCTGGCCTTCTCACGGCCACCAGTGCTGTGGGCCGGCCATGCATCTGGGGAGGGGTGCCCCAGGTGGCCCGCTGCCCTGGACATGGGACAGACAGCGGTGGGGCCGTGGGCTCCAGGAGGCACTCCCCAGGGTCTGCCATGGGCTTTCCCAAGACTGACACCAGGGCCTCGGGGCCCAGCGGGTCACGTGCCAGGCTGCAGCCATCTTCATGCACAAGGGACACGTGGCCAAGCAGCCAGTGCGGCAGCAGGAGGCCCCGCCTCTGGCCTCTCGGAGACCCCGGATGCAGACACTGCCGGCTCGGCCCTCCCCGGGCCAGTCTTGCCCTGCGGTTTCTGCTCTCCTGGGCAGGGGTGGACAAGGGGGCCACTCGCAGATGCCACAGCGGCCAGCTGGAGGGGGAGGGAGGGGGCAGCTGGGCCACCCGCAGCCTTGAGCCCAGGAGTCTCCTTGGCCCAGGACTCAGGGCACAGGGGTTGCAGGAGAGAGGCCCAGAGATGGGCTATTCTGAGTCTTCCCTGAGCCGTTCTGAGAGCAAACTCTAATCGCCATTTCTTATTTCTTCTCAGAAAAGTGAAATGAAATGAATTGCCCTTAGTTTTAGAATCCTGTAACTTCATGGTTCAAGTCACTTTGGTCGACGGATGAGGCTCCTTCCTTTGCACAGCAGCCCTCAGCTCAACGCCCACCCTTAGCACAGCCCCGGTCCACAGGCGCGTGTGCCTGAGCGCGTGTGCGTGTGTGCGTGCGTGCATGTGCATATGTGCGCAGCGTGTGTGTGTGTGTGCGCAGCCTGTGTGCATGCGTGTGTGCACGTGTGCGGTGTGCGTGCGTGCGTGTGTTCACGTGTGCGGTGTGTGTGCGTGCGTGTGTGCACGTGTGCCCGCCTCCCCTGCCGGCACGCTGCTCTCCGGGCTCTGCGGGGCCCTGGCTGGGCTCCTCCGTGTCATCGGGGCTGCAGGTCGGCGCCCTGGTGCCCTCGTCAGCACAAACCCGACAGGGCCTGTCCCAACTCCTTTGGACACTCACTTTGCTGCAAGCCAGTGGCCAGTGTGGTCTGGTTCTGGGAGACACTTTGGAAAGGGCCGTCTGTCTACTTCCTGGCAGGGATGAGGCAGGTGTGTTAGGAAAGGTGAGTTCAGGGGCCAAAGCTGGGGTCCAGGGGGCGCGAGGGCTGGGCGGGAGGGAGGCTGGTGGCCCTGCGGCCACCCAGCCCCAGGTCTGAGTTCTGCCGGTGAGCACAGGAATGTAACGAAGTGGGGGTGGTGAGGGGGCCAGGCGAGGGGAGGCCCCGCCAGCTACTTGCCCCCCTGCACCTTCTGGTCGTAGGTGCCCGCGTGCTTGTAGCCCGGCACGTAGCCCGACTCATCCACCAGGTCCACGCGGCCCGCCCGGCCCTTGCCCCTGCCTGATGGGTCGAAGCGCTCCTTGTGGGAGCCCGTGAACTTGGTGGTGTCCGTGAGCCGTGACACGGTGGGTGAGGAGATGGCTTTCTGCAAGAGAGTGGGGGCGTGGGGGAGGTCAGTCCGGGGCCCAGACCACAGACAGGGGCCACCCGCGTGGGGACCCGCACCTGTCCTGCCCACCCCCGGTGCTCACCGTCACCCCCGAGATGATGGGGGCCTTGCCCTCGATGAGTTTGTGCACCTCCCTGA